CTCGTAGCCAGGCTGCTGCTGCGGCTGCTGATGCTGTGCCGGATGCTGGTAGGGATGTGCCTGAGGATGCGGCCTGGGCGGATAGTGCAGCACGCTGGAGGGGATCAACTGCTGGCCAGCAGGCGTAAACATTCCCTGATGTGGATGCGCGTGCGGCTGGCTGTAGTGGGGCGAGGCATAGGCGGCATAGCGATAGTAATTCGGCATATACGAAGAGCCACCCGATCCATAGCCATAGCCACCCGCATAGGGATGATAGCCAGCATATCCGGATCTGTACGGTTGCGGAGGATAGTGCGACATGGCAGTCTGATGTGGATACGGATTTGGAAGTGGATGATGAGAGTGAGGAGAGTGCTGGTGCTGATGCTGATGCTGATGGTGATGGTGATCGTAGTAGCCGGCCTGGTAACGATCCGACATGTTCTGAGCTTCTACTTGGCGAAAGTTTGAAAGTTTCTGCCTCCCCCAATCTATTGGCTGAGGCCAGTCGTGGTCGTGGTCGTGGTCGTGGTCTCCCCCATCCCGTTTGCGGTGCCTTCCATATTGCCTGGTCAACGTCGTCGCTTTTGGTGTCCTCTTACATGTGTCTCTTATTGATTTTCCCTCCTCCTACAGCTACACCTAGACTGTGTTGCCACTCCGAAATCCTGGGCTCTCACCCCCTGCTTATCCTTTGCGTTGTTTTGTCGCTTTTGTTGCGTCCTTGTCTGCCTTGTCCACGCTTGGCTGCCTTTTATTTATGCTGGAATCAATTTTTGCCACACTTGCAGTTTTCTTTTGTCCTGCAACGAAGGGGATAGACAGGGAAAGAGAAATGGGTTGGTTTATTATCAGACGAAAAATAGTGTGGCCCAAGCGAAGGGGCAGGGAAATGGCAATGGGTTTCGGGATTGAGATTGGCAATGATTGTGGGCAGATCGTTAAACAGTTGGCCTGCCCAACAATTCAATTAACATTGAACCAATAACATTTTATGCTCAAGACGTGTGGCCTGTGTCTGAGGCTGAGCTAGAAATGGGATTAACAGATAAGTGAAGAAGCCATTCCAGAAGTGCTGGGAGTCTGGCCAGTTACATATTACAGCTGCTGTAGCCAGCAAAGAAACAAATGCCAGGGGCAGTCGCTGAATGAACAAACTCTTGAGATTCAAGACTCCATTCCATATGCCAATGAGAGGCTGCACAAACCAAACATACCAAATATGCCGAGCCTGTTATTATGTATAAATGTGGTGGTGGTGGCTGGCGGCTGCTGAAGATGCCCGTTAAGTGGCGGTGGGTTGGTTGGTGGTTGGGAGAGTGCGAAACAACTGCCGGCTGCATCTCCTCATGATGAGCCATGCGCAAAATTCCGTTTGTTTTGCACTCACGCACGGGCAGGAGTAGCAGCCGAAATGGGTGGTGGAGGTGGCCACAACAGCCACACAGCCATACAGCCATACAGCCACTCAACTTATCGAGCGCATCTACCCAATCTCGCCACACACAAGCACCCGCACACACACCCATTGCAATGGATGAATAACCGCATGCATTTTGGCCGCATGCAAGCCGTTAATGAGCCACAAAAGTGCACACACAAACCAGAGAGTAGATGGAAGCTGGCCTGCCCCATTGATAAGGAGGGGGCACAGGAAATGAAGGGGCTGGCAGGGCTAAAGAGTAATAGTCGTCACCAAAGCGTCATTCAGCAGCTTCGCCCACACACACACACACAACACACACACATACATAACATCTGTGTTCGTGTATAAATTTGTTGGTGTGCGTCGCTGTAAGCTTGCGCTTGACGTGTGCGTTTATTGATTAATAAACTTTTTGTGCAAAAAAAAAACAACAAAAAAAGACAAAAACAAAATATAATTGAAGGCAATTGGGGGTGTGGGTGTCGGGGGGTGTTGGGCAAACTTTATTGATCCGGTGACGCTGACGTTGATGATGATGATAGTGAAGATAATGATGATGATGTCCTGGCAGCAAATTAGCAAGTCCAAGGGGTTGGGCTGGAGGTGTGGACGATGGACAACTCTATTAGCAAAGTCAACCAGGGAGGCAGGGGCAGAATGGATAACATAATCAATGTAAACACAAGCTCGCACAGAGAGCAAGAGCAAGAGAGCGTGAGAGAGCGTGGGTCCATGCCGGCAGAGAGCATAATAGCGGAGCGACAGAGAGCTTCAGTGAGTGAGAAGAGAGCGAGCTTTTCACGCCACCCCCAAAAAAGGGTTAGGTGCGCGTCAAAGGAACAATGTGCGGAGGAGCCGTAAATGAAATGAGCCTCGAAATACGTTAAGCAACTGCAATCAGTCCTGCCAGGGTGGACCCTACACTCGCCCCCAGACTGGCGCGCCAAGCCACGCCACTCTCTGGCACTCTTCTGCAGCCAAAGCAGCGACAGCCACAGTGGTGGGTGGTGGCAACAGTGAGTGAGCAGCAGGAAACGGAAGCCGAGCACGAGGTAGAAATGTAAATGGCTAGATGCTGCGTGTTCCAAACACACCCCTTACTGGCACTGGCACTGGTGTCGGTGTCTCCATTTATGTATTGGTGGTTCCTTTTTTTCTGTTTGCTCTTTGCTCTGTTTTGGGACAGTGCGACACAACAGCAATGGTAACAGCAACAGCCTCCCACTGTACCCTGTACCCTGTACCCTGTACATAAATCAATAAAAACAGCAGCCCGAGACGGGTTTTTGGTCTGCCAAAGCCGCTGCTGCTGGCCGTGTGGCTTTCTGTACTTTTTGAAATTTCAGAGGCAGCGCCAGCTCCTCCAACACCCACGATTACATTACACGGCTCCTGCGTCACGTCACACGCTGCGTATGTGCATCGGACCCGTGGCTGTGCCTGTGCCTGCTCGGGAGGCACTTGAGCTGGCGACTGGAATGTATGCAGCGCAACTTTCTGATTTTAATTGAGTTGCTGCCCCTGCAGCTGCCACGGCTTTTGTCAATGATGGATTTCAATAATTGGGGCAGGGATTGCATGCAAGCGTGGGAGTGTCTCAACATGTTCCAAAAACAATTTTGTCAACCCAAAAAACAAAGAAAATTTAATTGAAAAACAATATCAAAGAAACATTTTTATGGAAAACTCTCAACTAAAATTGATATTTACCAAATATCCAGCACGATATTCACGCTTGAATAATTTGTTTGTAATATTTTAAACTTTTTATTATTAATTTCTTTATATATTTATTTTCGTTTTAGTTTTTTAATTGTTTTCTGTACTTGAATCAATTTCACATCACGAATATATTTTTGCTAAAACTCTCATTTCCGTTTTCACTTGCCACAAAATACCGTTACATTTTCAAATGTGGCTACAAAAACCGTTCGTACACAATGGCCCTGAAGCACGGCCAGCCAGACACACGCTCTCTCTTCGAGCACTCTCGCGGAAAAATCGAAGAGCAGCCACACTTTGGGGCGGCCCAAATGATCAGCTCTGTGGCAGAGCAGAGCAGTGCAGAGGCACAGCAGACAGAGCACACCACACTTCCCTGAGTGCCGGATGGCAGCGGTGGTGTTGCTCTTGCTTCAGTCTGATGGACTGAATGCCTACGCTGCTGTGGTGTAGCTGTAGCCAAAAATGTTACGTATACGCTGCATGTGTTGCGCGCGCGAAAGTCCGACGTAGACTGAAATGCGATACGCTGGCGCGCTTCCATTTATACACCGAAGGCCCTGCAACACGGCGAATGGCGAATGGCGAACAGCGAACGGGAGACCGAAGTCCCCAGTGGCAAGAACAAGAAAAGCTGGCAAAAGACGTGGTGGCAGCTGAAAAAGGAGCAAAAACAGACTAAGAGCCAAAGCGAAAACAGAAAACGGCACAGCCAGCTCGCAGCTGCACTGGGCACAGGCACATACCTCGAACCTCGTACCTCGTACCTCGTACTCGCAGTCGTAGTAGAGCTATGTGACCCGATTCGATGGCAAGCTGCCACATGCGCGGGACAGCTCTCCGAGCGAGCATCAAACTGAGAAGAGCGGAGAGAGGATTGTGTGTGGCTGCACTTTGGGGCTGATGGCGGGCTGCTCTCGCTCTCTCTCGAATTTGTTGAACTTTATTCACTTTGCTTTGCTTACGAATTAGAGCACAAAACAGAAACCAAACAAAAACAGAGCGGAATCTAGACCGTTATGTTACTTGCAACGAGTGGTGGCAAGGGGGGAGAGAGAGAAAGAGAGAGAGATTGCGCAGGGAAAATGTTTGCCAAATTCCCATTTGGGGGTTTCCCACGTTGTGAACGTGAATGAGGCACGAGGCGAGGTATGTATAGGCTCGATTTATCGATGTCCGGGATAGGAACAGAACAGAGCAGAACGAACTGAACTGCCATCAAAATGCAAAGCCGTAGCACGCTTTCCGGGGCAGCCGCAGATGTACGAACAGAGCTTTAAGCGTAGCTAACCGCAAATTATTTGGCCACTGAACCCTTGCGGCATTTGGCATCTAAACCTCGACCCCTGATGACCGATAAGCCAAAAGGTGGAAAGTTAAGCTGGCAGATAGCACATATGGGAGCTATAGGGGAGCTCTATTGATTATATTTTGGGGTGCAGCCGCCAAGTGGTGGTTCGTTCGCTACTGAAAGTTGTGAACATATTTCAAACAGACAAAAACCGCCTGAAAATCAAATCAATTCTTATGGCGTACCCCTCTGGCTACGCGCCTGAGTTTCTTAAGAACTCTCTCACAGCTCCCGGCCACTGCGCAGTCTCAGCTATCTCTCGCGCTCTCCCGCTCTTACTCTCTCTCTCTCTCTCTCTCTCGTTGTGGCCAAGTGCACGTGTTTGTTGCGGTTTCCGTTTGCTACCAAAGAGGAAAGCCCTCGAAATATATGTGTGGGTGCAAGAAAAAAAACGTAAACAAAGTGTGCGCACGCAACGAAATATTACAGTGGGGTAGGATGGAGTCGAAGATGGAGTTGGCTCCCCTCGAAGGGTGTTCTTGCTGCTGCTATTGATTGTGTAGACAACAAACAGGGTGCTTTGCTCGCAAACAGTCTTTACTGCAGCTCGTAACTTAAAACTAGTCAAGAGACGAACGAAGACACAAAATAAACGCAGAACCAGGATCCAGAATCAGCCAAACCAGTGAGCGCCCATGCAGTCGCGTGTCCATTCCGTCTGACAGACCCAGCACCACTCGAAGCCGCAGCCAGCGCGTGTACAGACCATGTGCATGCAGCCGCCTGGAAGATGAGAGACAATAATGTAGCATGGCATTTACGTAAAGCTGACGACTTGCGTCTCTTGGTTCCAGCACATACCATCGCGCTCCGTGGGGGTTCGACATTTGGGACAGGGCTTGGTACTGACTTTGATGGTGACGTTGGTGGCCTCCTCCCAGCGTGCCTCGGCCGCGCGCTAAGAACGCAAACGATTACACAATCACACAGTGATTTGTGTCAAGAAAATGCTTACATTCGGGTCCACGGCGTACTCGCAGGAGTTGGAGGCACTGGCACTGCCACCGTTTGGCAGACACTCCCCAATGTGATAGCCCTGCAGGCAGTTGCGACAGAATACATAGCCACAGCCACTCTGACAGGTTACCTTGCGGCAGTCGGGCTCCACGAGCAATCCCATGCCGCAACCCGGCTGTGGGCAGAGCACGCCGCCAGCCTGCAGCACAAACTCCTCGGTGGCAAAGCGCTGATACCGATCGTACTCCTCCCGTGTCAGCAGCTTAAAGTGATGGATTTCCTCTATAAATGAGTGCTCACAGCCTGCAGGACAAGGCAGTGTGTAGCCAAAGTCCGGATGAGGCATAAACTGTCGCTCGCTTAGGCGCGAACGGCAATATTGGCGAAAACAGTCAATACACGCGACGTGCTGGGAAGCGCAGGGGAAGACCAAAACTGTTTCACTGCAAAGGAATCAATTAATGGGCATTTGAACTAGCATAGAAAAGCGCTTCCACTGACCATACATCCGTGCAGGCAAGGCAGGGCACATCTTTGAAATTGCTCTTAATTAAATTTAGTGGCGCCGCAAAATCCTTTTCTCCGCCCGATATATGCTCGGCGCATTTGAAGTAGAACTCGGCAAAAGGTGGATCGCCAGCCGCATTGTCCACACACGCAATCTCCAGGCTCTCGCAGTGTCCGGGTATGCGTCGGGGCTTGAGCACATCGTCCCAGCACTCTGGATCGCGATGCACTGTGAAGGCGCCGCCCTTGCAGAGCGAGCAGCGCACACGGAGCTTGCCATTGCACAGCTTATCGCACTGTCCGCAGTGCACAAAGAAGTGGGCTTTGGCGCGGACGCGATCTGGAAGATTTAGACAAAGTTTAGTAAGAAATTCCTAAAGAAATTTCTACCACCTGTTGCCCACCTTCGTCTGTGATGTTGAGACGCTCGTCGTTCTCCAGCTGCAAGTCCAGCAGGGTTTCGTTAAGCGGCTTGGAAGCTTCCTCCGTTGGGGGCTCTTCCTCCTCCAGCGTCGCTGAAGGAAGTTTTTCCCGCCGCACTGGCGGTCGCATGCGAATCGCGTGCAAAATGCTTTGCTGCCCCAGATCGCATTGCTACTAAAAGTAAAGGGGATTAGTATGTCATTTAGGTGTCAGTGCCACTGACCTACCATTATGGTTGTTGCGTCACTTAGTTCCTTGCCGGCAAATATGATTTTCACCTCCTCCGGCTGCAGTCCCAGCTGCGGCGCCACCAATTCCTTCACGTTCTTGATGTCCCATTGCGGCTCCAAGTTCACTGTCAGCGTGCGCCCAGTGTTTGTTTTGACATAGATTTTCAGTGTGTTTGTCAGTGTCTTGCCCCCGAATTGCAACAGTTCCAGCATTTTGCGCACAAACGAGGCAATAAATTCGAAAATAAAACTCATTTGTTATCTTTTTTTTTTGTTTTGGTATTTAATTGCCGCGAAATTGGATGGTCACACGATCGCGGAATTATCTATAAAATATACCGTCAGGTCTTCGTAAATATACCAAAATATACCATTGAATCTTCAAAACATACCGTAAATATACCGTAGTCTTAAATTATATTCCTCGATTTTGATGTTCTATTTGATTTTACAAGCTTGCAAAGACTTTTAACACTGAAACAATAATTTAATCCTTTTGAAGAATTAATTTAACGTATTTAGTACGTAGTAGTAATTTTTATTGGTTTGTATGCCCTATGACCTTATATTTTACAAATTCAAATATTCTTTTTTTTTTTTTATTTAATCGCTACAGAGAAATTGTATGGTCCGCACGACCTCGAAATTATCGATAAAATATACAGTCTGACCCTAAGAAATATACCGAAACAAACCTTTCCATTTTATATATACCGCAAAGCGTTAGCACGTATTTTTGCGCGCAAATGAAACTAAAATGTTGTAAACAGAGCCACAGATCGACTTGAAAGTAATTTTGATTAAGCTGATAGAAATGTCAGGTTTTGTTTATAAAGAGGTGAACGGGGACTTGTTCAGCGCGAAGGCCGACTATTCCATGTGCCATTGCGTGGGCGCTGACCTGCGTATGGGCAAAGGGATCGCTGTCAAGTTTCGGTGTGTCCTACGTTCTCCTTTGCAGAACACAAAACTAACAATTTTATGTACTTCCGCAGCACTAAGTTTGGCCAGCTGCTGACATTGCAGAGGCAGAATGTCCAGCCGGGTGGCGTGGCCATCCTAAAGGATCAGGAGCGTTTTATCTACAATCTCGTTTCCAAGCAAACGAGCTGGGGAAAGCCCACCTATCAGCTACTCCACAGCTCCTTGACCGCGATGCGGCAGCATATGGTATGTGGAAACTATGCACCATTTCTACTCCAATTTGTTCACCTTCGTTGTGTCCTCTATTTCAGATTGCCCACAATGTCCACAAGCTGGCTATGCCTCGCATTGGATGCGGCCTGGACGGACTCTCCTGGATGAAAGTGAAAGAAATGGTCTGCGAGATTTTCCAGTCGGATGCTATTGAACTAGTTGTATATAATTATGTGCTCCGTGCAGCCAAATAGTAAATGTAGTAAATGTAAGTTAACTTAAACATGTAACTTTGTAAACATATGTAAGAAAAGATTTTTTTAATAAAAATGAAAAGGGCTGCTTTTGTTCGTGAAATTATAGCATACTTCCAGGCTGAAATGTTCCCAATTACAAAATAGCGTAGGAAAGCCATATCCTGCAGTCCTTGTGGTCCTTGATGGACTCAAGCGATACAGGAGACTCGTACTCTCGCCAGGAGGCATGCCATGTCCTGATCGGACAGGAAACAACCGAGTTATACCGTTGTAGGGGATTTTATATAAAAACAATATTCAAATGGCATTATCCTTAATGTCCTTGCACCCGAAGTGATCCGGGACATTGTCCCGATCTCGAGGAGGCGTGAAATGTCCTTTTTCGACTGGAAACAGCTGAGCTATAGCCTTGTAGAGATTAAAATGAAAAAACAACGTGAAAATTTCATTATCCTTAATGCACCCGAACTGGTCGCAAAGGATCCAGCACTTTGTGCCGATCACGAGTATTCATTGCACATCCTGGTCGGACCACAAAAAAAGCAGAAAACAACAAAACAAATCGCTCCTGTTCTTATTGTCTAATTTTGACAGTCACCCCTTTGCACAGTGGCGCCCCCGCGATGAAGACGGCGATTTCTGGAACTAAAATTGGGTAGTTCGATAATTGGCCGCTCTGTGTTGGGGCGCCACTGTGAACTTGTGAAATTCCTATTTGCACAGTAGCGCCCCTTCGATGAAAACGGCCGTTTATAGAACTAAAATAGTGTGGTTCGATAATTTGCCGCTCTGTGTTGGGGCGCCACTGTGAACTTTTGAAATTGCTTCACTGAAATGGCCGAAAACTAGAAAATTTTCAGGCCAAGTACCAGGCGAACAGAAGTCAGCAGAAGGTAACTGGTTTCCATGTTTTTTCACTGTGTCAAAAGCTGGATGCTATTAAACCGCAATTAATTTTTGTAGTCGTCAAGCAACTAAAAGTATGCATCATGATTTTATGAGCAAAGTAAATTAAGAAATTGCTCAAAAATACTGTAACATACTTTTAGTTACTCTGCATTTGAACACATTTAAAACAAAAACTTCGAGAACATCTACTTTTGAAAACAACAACAACAGGACAGTTTTGTTTTCTTCTTTTCTCCTGTATTTGTTTTCCGATCAGGATGTGCCACACCTTTTCGTAATCAGGACAAATTCCCCGATCCTTTTCAATCACTTTCGCTTCAAGGACATCAAGGATTAAGGATTCAATTGCAATTCGTTATCTTTGTATATTTTCTTTGTATATTTCTCTGTGATCAGAAAACATCCCTATTTTATTGGAGTCCCTGTCTAGGATCAAAAATATTTCCCATTCCGATAATAAACACAATTAATGTTATGTACATATGTATATGTATATGTATACGTCTTTTATTTGATATCTTAGCCTAGAATTGATTCTTAATTGCTTGGCGGAGGCACAAAGTTGTAGACGACAATCTCCAGCTGCTCCTGCCCGAAGACATACTCCAGAACGCCGCTGACTTTGTCCCACTCCAAGCCATCAATACCGCAACCGATGCGCGGTATGGCCAGCAGCTTAACGTTGTTCTTGCGCTGCCAGAAGGTATTCGAAATGCATAAGCAGAGAATTTATCTAAAAGTTAGTGTAAGCCACTCACCATGTGTTCGCGCATCTGCTCCAGAGATGACTGCAGCGACTCGTATGTTGGTTTTCCCCAGCTTTGTGGCTTCGTCACCAGATAGTATATGTAGCGATCATTATCCTTGAGCACAGCCACATCACCGCTGGCCGCCTTCTGGGCACGCAGCTCATCGACCTTGCCGTAGACCTCCTTGAACTTCACTGCTATCCCTGCGCCCATGGCCAAGTCAGCGCCCACGCAATGGGCCAGCGAGTGCGTCTTGGGAGCCGAGAATAGATCCCCATCGATTTCGTTGATTTGATAGCCTTGTCCTGCCATGCCGACCACAAAAGCGCGACGAAATGCTTGACGAAGCTCTAAAAGTTTAGGACAATACATTTTTGTTTATAATGTGTTGATAATTACAGTTTACAGAATGTGACAGTACACAATGGAGCATGCCAAAGTGGAAGCAATGCCTACTGTCTAGCGAAACTTCATTTCTTGGTTATGTGCCCTCCAGCTTGGGGCGCCGTAATATATTTATTAATTTATAATATAAATACCCACAGAATATGCATTTTCAGGTGCAAAAACAAAAAATCTCTTAAGTGTACAAATAGCTTATAAACTAAATAGATATGCGGCGGTGCATTTGGTGCTACAAGTCCCATGCAAAACCATTTCGAGTACGTATATACAATTCCCATTGGATTCGAGTTCTCAGAATGGAGTCTTCTCCCGGTAGAGCGACTGACGCGATGCGCTGACGGATCGCGGTATCTGTATGGTCTTCATATGATGACACGTGGGACAGACAATGTTCATGCTGGCCTTGACCATCGGGGGCGGAGTGTAGAAGAAGGCAATGATGTCCACTTTGTCATCGGCGAAGACCAGCTCCAGCAGGTTGCGGACACGCAGCCAATCCAGACGATCGATGCCACATCCCAGGCGTGGAATGGCCAACTTTGTGACGTTGTTCTCCCTCTGAAATGGAGACATATTCGAGTGATGATCAAGTATCGGACTGTCAGACCTTCTCTTACCATGTGTTCGCGCATGGCCAGCAGCGCGTAGTAGAGTGCCGTGTAGGTGCATTTCTCGTGGCTGCGCTGCTTGGTCACCAGATTGTAGATGAAGCGACCGCCCTGCTCCAGCACTGCCACATTGCCCGTGTGCTTGTTCTGCCGCTTCAGCTCATCCACTTGGCCGAACTTGCAGCGGAACTGCAAGTTGATGCCCGCGCACATGGCAAAGTCAGCGCTGACAGAGTGAACGAGTGCAAAGTTTTCCGGCGCACTGAACAGGTTGCCCTTCGCCTCGGTAATCTGACACTTGGGTGCAGCCAGCTAGGAATTTAATCGATTAGCTTAACTACAAATCTTCCCTGAGTAACTCACCTCCTTGGACATGTCCTCGTGCTCGCAGACGAGTATCTCGATGGGATATTCGCCGTGGGCAAAGGTCTGCTGCATCAGGCGCTTCACTTGCTTCCAGTCGAGGCCATCGTTTCCGCAGCAGATGCGCGGCATGGCCACTTTGGTGATTTCATGATTGCGCTGTGAATCGAATGGTGGCATAAATATTTCATTGTACAAATAAATTAACTGTAATTTAATGGGAAAGCCTCTCTTCAGAGCGCGTCGACTTGGCAATGCTCTATGGAAAGAGAAAGCCCCTCCACTCACTCACCATATGTTCTCGCATACAAATCAATGCCGCCTGCACGTCCTCATATGTGGTGGAATCGTAGATGCTCGATTTTGTCACCAAATAGTAAACGAATCGTGCATTATGCTCCAGCACGGCACAGTTGCCGCGCGCCACCCGCCGCTGACGCAGCTCCTCCACGTCCCCGTATATGAGGCTGAACTGCCAGGCGAGGGTGCCGCGCAGTGCCGAGAACGATGACTCAACGGCATGGGCCAGTGCATAGCTCTGCGGTGCTTGGAATATGTCCAGTTTCGACTCGATGATCTTCACATTCGCTGTGGCCATTTTGCTGTGTGTCAGCCACTGTGTCAGCTGCAATTAAAAGGAAATTATATTTGATTGTTGCTGTTTCGGCTGTTTTGCTGCTGCTGGCTGATTTTTCAATGCCAAAAATGAGTTTTGTACTTACGTGCACGCAGCAAAAACGCAGAAACTTTCGCGGCGAGGTCGAAAATATTCACAATAGAAACTTTTGTTGGCTTTGAAATTTGTTTGTTTTGTCTGCGGACTGCACTGGGGAAACACGAGCAGGAAACGAAGAGTCGGAGAGTCACCAAAACACCACGGAATAGATCAGGGAAAACAGAAAACAAGGCAATTAGCAAGCGCGTCTCACGTTCGATTCTTATAGGAATAGAAGAGTTAGCGGATAGTTCAATGGATGGCTGTATGGATGCTTGTTTTTTTGGTCAATGTTTGAACGATTTAACCACTACCATTCCCTGCCCGAACGTTTGTTTGTTAGCGATTATTAATCAAGAGAGAGACCCGCTATGGTCTGGCACGGCCGGCGTTCTGCAGTGGAATGCGCAGCGCTGCGACTGCGAAAGTGCCGCCGCCGCCGCAGAGCGAAAGCCCCATCAGGTTCTCCAATGATGATGATGATGATGATACGATGATGGTGATGGCTGTGATGATGACATGTCTCCGTTGAGTGTGTGTGCTTGTGTTTGCTTTTATCGCTTTGTTGGCATTTGTTTAGTTACTCTGTGTTTTGGTTGTGTTAGCCCTATGGGCGACAGGTTAACTTGGAATCGTCCAAAATTGTCAAAGTTGCTGTAACGCAAATAATCAGCAGTCATTCTGCCAATTATGAACATGTGCAGGTATGATAACCACCGCGATACGGCGGGGTTCTCCGTTGTGTTATAGATTAATGGGTTTAGAACTCGGTGATGCGTGGGCCGGTACGCTGTCAAAGGTAATCGGTGGCCTGTGCTCTAATAGGGGCAGTCAACCGAACGTATAGTCAGACTTGGCCGACTGGCGTTTGCATAAATAAATATAAATATGACTTAAATTATTCGTTAATTGTAAGGCAGGTGAAATGAAATGTACTCTCGAAATAAACACTCAGGTGTAGTGCATACACATCACCATATTTAGTAGCTAATTAAATTCTAAAACAAACAAAAAGGCAGAGCAGCAGCAACAGCAGTGTGAGATGTTTACAATTTTAAAAAAATTACGCGCCTCATTTGCGTGGGTGTGTGTCTTTGCTAAGGGCCGCGCTACACAACACTAGTTAAGTGCGTTTTACAGTACTGCACAGCTTTTGGCACAAACAATAACAACACACACACTCAAACAACAAGTGGTTGGAAAAAAGTCATAGTTTATGCTTCTATATGATTGTTTCTAGTCATTTATGACTTAAATAACATTATTGGCTGTAGATTGGTTCAAGTTGTGTGTGGCTTGAAGTGCTCCAAAGGCTAGAGTGGTGTTTCTTTTTTATGGATTCTACTACGCATGTCACGCGGGTGCGTTGATTCGTTTTGTTTTATTTTGAATTTCCACTTTTCTATCAACTAGACGACGATGGGGGGCACGTTGTGGAAAAGCGATAGCCACAGAGATTCGGATTCAGTTCATGGCAGTTCAGATTGGCGCTTCGTACGACAACGACGACCACGACGACGAGGAGGAGCCGTAGCTTTGCTGGGATTTGGCGTGTAAATTGATTGGCACTCTGCTGTTGCTGTTGCTTCTCCGTTTGTTGGTGCAAGTTACGTAAATTTGTGTCTTTACTTTTGTTATTTGTGTTTAAATACTTTACGTAGTAATTGTGTAGTTAGTTGAGAACTTGTGCCGCGTGCCAGAAACATTCGCGAGTCGCGTTTTTGGGCAATTATTCCAGAGTAAATCTCCCAAAAGTCTTGCGCGAGAGAGAGCAACAGATAAAACGTTCTGAATCACTCGGAGAATAAATAAAAAGTGCAAGCAGCGCACGTCCGACAGCGACAGAGAACTTCGGCGCTGACAGCGACAGCGACGTCAGCTGTTTCTCCCCCCCTCTAACCGATCCCACCAATCCACCGTTGTGGTTGCTCTTGGGGCTTTGTCTTACGTGTTACGTAGCCAGTAGTCGGTTATCTCCAACTAGTTTTTCCGTTTTCGCTCTCTTCTGTTGTGTTGTGCTCTGTTTTGGTTTGCCATTCGTGTGCCTTGTTCTTGCCTGTGTGTGCTTTTTGTTACCTTATTTGTTGCAATGACTTCGTTGACATTGTTTTGCTTTTTGCGTCGAACTGCGGTCACTGGCGACTCCGCATACGCCTACGCCAATGCTGCCAGTCGGCGGTGCGTTCAAACGCTTCAACGGCGCCCCTCCTGTAGGCGGCATGCAACAGCAGCAGCAGCCATAAATTCACATGCAAATTCAGGCGGTAAGTTTGAACTTTAATTATGCAAATTACGCGTGCATTTGTTGATTTATTATGAATCCACATCACCTACAATAAGATACATCTACCGCACTTTTCTCAAATTTCAAAATATGTTTCGTTCACTCATCTAATTTTTTGCCAATTCTCTCATAGTGCCTCCCACACGTCAAATTGTTAACGACTGTTCCTCCGAATTTATAATTAAAATACATTTTTGTTTCTTGACTGTTTTCTTAATGAGCAAAAGCACCAAAAAACACACCCAACAAGTGGCTGTTGTACTTATAAGAACAAAAAGGGGGCTGGCGTCCAGTCAGCTGAAAAAAATAAATATTTTGGAATCTGAATCAATGCGGTGGCGTCGCTGAGTCTTCCACGCGTTATTAATCGCATTCTGATTGCCTCGTTGAAAGCGCATTAGGCACTTCACTTGTTCTTCCCATATCACAAACTGGTTTTGCGTTCAATTGCCGTTTAATCAATATTATAACACCCTCCAGTATCCAGTGCGGATCAATCAAATAAATTTATCCATTACTCAAAAAGGTGTTAATGGGCGGAGCATTCCACTTGTTTACTTGCCCAATAATTTATTGTTCATTAAGCGCCAACACACTTTTGTCCAGCCTAGATTGATTAGAGCCGAGACCTGCAGGGCACTCGAAATATATTTTGGACTGGGTTAAGCTGATAAGATAAGGAGGGCTGCAGACCGATAGAAAGCCTCACAGTTTTGGCTAAGTATTCACAAATAAGCAGATCTACAGCTGGCTATTTATATTTCACCATTGAAGAGACAAACCAAGTCGTGTTTTAGCCATTAAGCTGAGGACTGAGTCAGGTTTTATTCGGTCAGAGAGTACAAAACGTTCTAGAATCAAGTGGAAGTTCAGGGAATATGTTTGTTGGCTCTTGATCTGCGATAAGATAAAGCCAATAAAGCCATCAGTAAATATATTGAGTGTGTTTGGGGCTTACGTACACATGTTGTGCCCATCCATCCATCCATCACATTCGCTTTTATTGTGGAAGGTCAACGCTATTACATTCATTGGGGCTGGCACTGGGCGGTTACAAACAAACCCACGAGCATGGCAATGAACTCTAATTTGAGTACCCAAGAGTCCCACTTTCATCGCTTCCTACAGAATGTCGATTCAAGAGTACAGAAATACAGAAATAATTTCCATGAGTGAAGTTCAAGGTCATTACCGAGCAGCCACTACACCAAGACGACGTACTACGTCCAGCCCACACACGCAACAAGAAAAACGACAGCAACAACAAAATATACAAATAATAAATGAGCAGGGTAATAAATATATACTATAATAAGTATATGTATATGTTTGAGTGAGTGATATATGTATGTATGTTTGCGTAGACTTGCGAGCCCCCTCTATTGACTGACGAAACAGAGAAGCAAAACTTGTTACACACACTTCGAGCATTGAGAGTGGCAGTCTTTCGTCTCTCGATATCTTTCCAGGTAGAAACTGTGAATTTCTATTAAATCCAAAGCAAACATTATGCTGATAAGCATTTGTACATGCTACACACATCCACATAGAAGTAGTCGTCTATCTCGTTCTTGTTCTCTTTGAGTGTGAAGAATTTCGGGTTTGCCAAAAGCGAAAACAAAAGCAGACCCGCTCTTGCTTGTGGCTGTTTCCAACCGCCTAGGGCCGTCCTATCGGGGAATATGTGCGAGTGAGAGTATGGGTAAGAGATTGCCAGAACAATTAGACGACTGCTTATGTCGCCTCGCCTCAGTCCATTTCATTTCCAGTCGCGTATACGCCGCGTATCTGAACACACACGTTCCGCTCTCCCAACACCGCCACACAAAAGATACCAAAAATTCTAAAGCAACCCCAATCTATATTCTATCACAGACTTTGCTCCGCTGCTCCGAGTTTCTACCAGAAACATGGCGTCTTCTGCTCCCAAACTGGTGGCCGTTGCCGAGTCCCGGCGCTTCATGATCGACTGCTTCAAGGCGGTGAAGGTGCCCCAGGCGCATGCCGAGGCCCAGGCCGATCTCCTTGTGGCTGCCGATCATCGTGGACACTTCAGCCACGGCATGAATCGCCTGGAGATGTACATCAATGATCTGGCCATCAACTGCACGGACGGAGGCGCAGTGCCAAAGATTCTCAAGGAGACGCCAGCCACCGCCTGGGTGGATGGACTCAATGGTCTGGGCGCTGTGGTGGGCAACTACTGCATGGACCTGGCCATCAAGAAGGCCAAGACAGTGGGCGTTGGCTGGGTGTGTGCCAAGGGATCGAACCACTACGGCATGGCCGGCTGGTATGCCATCCGAGCAATGGAACAGGGCCTCGTCGGCATGTCCATGACAAACACCTCACCACTGATGGCCCCCACTCGCGCCAAGGAGGCTGCTCTGGGCACCAATCCCCTCTCCCTGGGCGCACCTGCCACGAACGGTGACAAGTTCCTGTTGGATATGGCGACCACTGCCGTTGCTGTGGGCAAGATTGAGATTCAGCGTCGTAAGGGTGCTGGTCTGCCCGACGGTTGGGCTCAGGATCCCAATGGCAACATCACAAACGACGCCGAATTGGGCTTCAGCACCGGCTGCCTGATGCCCTTAGGTGGATCGGAGTTGACCTCCGGCTACAAGGGTTTCGGTCTGGGTGCCATGGTGGACATCCTTTCGGGCGTCATGTCCGGAGCTAATTACTCCACCCAGGTGCGTAAGTGGACACACGCTGGTGCCGATTCGGCGGCAGATCTTGGACAGGTCTTCATTGCCGTGGATCCCAACTGTTTTGCACCCAACTTTGAGGAGCGTATGACCGATTTCAATGCTCGCCTTAGGGGCGTAAAGCCGGTAAGAACTTGCAGCTTTATAGCAAAATAATCCCTACGAAATCTTTAATTTCTTTATCAGACTGATCCCAGCAAGCCTGTTCTGCTGCCTGGCGACAAGGAGAGCCAAAATATGGCATCCGTTGACGCTGCCGGCGGCATTCAGTATCTGGAGAATCAGCTGAACACCTGCGCCTCCTTGGCGGAAAAGTTAAACATCAAGCCGCTGGCCTTCAACTAGAGATGGAGAGACCAAGCCTCTGTGTCATTCGATTGCCATAGAGTGCTGGAGCAGCTTCTGCATTTTGCCTGACCAAAGCACAGCGTTATTTAGTGCCTAAGTTTTGACCACATATCCGATCCGTTTGGTGTTCTAGTTCTATGCAACAATTTGTTTTGCAATATTATGATATTAATAACGAGTAATAAATGATAGAATACAGCTTTAATTGGCATTTTGTGGTGTGTGTTTATAGCTCCATCACTTGCTTCAATGATTTCTCCGCATCCCACTTGGCTTCCTTGTGGGCTATCTTGGACTTGCAGACATTTCGTGACTTGTACTCCTTGCACTTGGTATCAAATAGACGCGGCGGCATTGGCTGATTGTCGCACGACCCTACCTTCATGGCTGATCGTAGCTCCTCGGGATCTTCGGTGACGCTCATGTACTTGATGAAATCTATATAGCCTTGGTTCTGCTCGGTCAGGCGACGTTTCTCCTCGAGCAAGAGCAGGTTTTGGGCCTCGACCATGGCCTGACGACGCCAAAAGTTGTTCAGCATTTTAGTCTGTTCAACTAGCTCCACTTCGGTCATGTCCACATGATTTTTCATATTCAATGTTTCCAGTTTGAACTGCTCGTCTACTTTGCCCAGATCCGTTTCATCGACAATTTCACCGCCCAGGATCACTTTTTCCGTTTCGGTTTGCAGCTTTCGGCAGGTGATCGATAGAGCCAGCAGCAGCTCGCCACTCTTTACATGCTTTTCCATTTGCTGTAGCGGGATTATGTCTACTGAGATCGGTTTTAAATGAAATGTGATCTTACCTTTATTATTTCATAGCACTCTCCCGTGAGTATGCGCAGCTTCTCATGAGTAATCTCGCGATCCAGCTCCTGATTCTGCTCGATCTTCTTGCGCACACGCGTAAAGTACTGAAACTCTAGACGAAGATCATTCAGAGTCGAGTTGTGATCCGACTCAACGCGCAGTATCTCCTTGTTCAGGTCGGACATTGTGTTGATGCTCTTCAGCTCCTCGTAGTTGAGTTTGCGCGACTCATCCATGAAGGCCGCCTGCCGCTCGGTTAGCCAACGGATCTTGTCGTACTTGTGGGCGTCCAACTCCGTGCTGCGAAGTGACTCCACAAAGTCATTCAGCTGTTGCTGCATATCCGTCATGCGGATCACAACCTGATCTCGTATGCGAAAACGATTCTCTATCTCAGTATTGACACGATCGTCCCGCTGCTCCAGGAAGATCGTGTAGTCCTCCTTCAGCTGATCGCGCGTTGTTATATTCGTGGCATGTATAATGTTCTCGCTGTTCTGGTGCATAAAGTCCACCTCCTCCGTGCGACGCTGAACCTCTTCGTAGAACTCTTTGAGCAATATCTCTGCCTCCTGATCGTACATATTCCTCACCCCATCCATCATGCCGTGGAAGCAAGCGCTAATGTGATCAATCAATTCCACAGTCTTGCTGAAGCAGCGCACATGGCGATCCTGCGTCTGGGTCATGTCCTCGATCAGCATCTTGATGTGATCGTTCTTTCCTTCTATATTTCTTGAGGCCTTCTCGCCCCAAGTCTCGATCTCCTCACGCAGCTCCTTCATCTTGATCTCTTTGCACATCTCATGCCACTCCTCATTGCCCTTCATCTCCATGCGCTTGCCCATCTCTAGCTCACGCGCAAGGGCATCCTATCAGAAAGGGAATCTTATTAGATCTGCCATCAGGTTGGACTTTCCCCTACTCACGCGCATTATCAGCTTCTTGTCTTCTATCACCTCCAGCCGCTTGGCCTCTCTCTTGGCAGCCTTCTTCTCGGCTTTCGTGGGCTTGCGCGGCCCCTCCGGCTCCTTGTCCAGCTCATCCTGCATTTCCTGCAGATAATTGGTTGTGAGACGTGTCAACCGTATTTCGGGCTCCACGTGTTCCATTGTCGTGTATTTATTTGTATTTATTTAAATCGTTAACCATTAATACTAATAAATAATTGATTATTGTTTTTTTTTGTTGCTGACAGTTGAAATTTACTCTGGTGTCTGACCAGACAAGATTGATCATGTTGAAATTTATAGCAAAGCTTTCTACAGTTTGAGCGAACGAATGCCGTTACATGTGCAAGTATTTTCGATGCCCAACACTGTATCGAGTACCAGGTGGGTGGGAGCCCAAAGCTCTCTCCGCGCAGCATCTAGAAACTTCACTGCGACGCAACTGTGATTTTCACAGTTAACGGTGAAAGCTTGGCTCGCGAGGTTGTTGGCGCGCATAAAAACGGACTAGAGGAAGAATCAATTCCCACCCACATCGCCACTGAAGGCACGCCAGCCCGTGTGTCTGTGTGTTTTTTTACCCGGCTCCGCCTTGTAAACAAAAATAACTTTGCTTGTGGTGGTGGTGGTGGTGTATCAACCCCCAATAGCCGCAACGGCAACGAAGGCAACTACAAAGCTCGAGTGGCAAGGGCAATACAGCCACGACAGCCAGCCAACCAAGTTTTTCGGGGTGGCAGACAGTTTGGCAAACAAGCTGTGAATTCGTCTTTAAAAGCCCATTAATATTTTGGAGCAAAAAAGTACTCGTAAAACCGCAACAAAAATCACCATTCGTAACTGTATCTGTGTGTCTGTGTTTTTATTTCTAACGTGGACGTATCTTCGCATTTAAAATGAGCGATGCAAGCGGCTATCAGAAGCTGCCCCCGGGTTGGGACTGCAAATACGATCAGACAACGGGAAATTGGTAAGCAACGGGAGTGTATGTATGTATACAGATGTGCATATGTACATAAGTATATACTAGCATTTATCTCATTCAAAACGTCATAAATATTTATGCCTGCATTAAAAAAAAGACAACAAAACGTAGTTAAATCTGTTTGTGTGAGTGTTGAAATGTTGCTTGGTTGCTGCGCGCTTTTCTCTGCGTTCCGCCAGACGACTGTACTCAGTTTCCCAGCGGGAAATGTAATGGCCTTTGGCTAGGCAACGGTGGGTGGTACTTTCGAGGGATATAAACACAGTAACTGATGTTTGTAGGGACTTGAAATTGTCAAGTGGGTATGAGGATTCCTCCCGAATGGAATGTTTACGATATACGATTTACGATAATGCATTGTTAAGGAGTGCAGTGACTGGAGGAATGGTTTTAAAGCATAATTTAAGGAGTTTAAAGACTTCAACAATGATACATAAAGTTGTTCTAGTACTCTGCACACTTTTTCTCGTTTAAAATTCCTTCTTGTTTACTTGTTCGTAGTCCTCGAGTGTCAAACACATCTCTTCAAGGATACTTGGAACTCCTCAGAAACCCCAATTGGCCTCATTTTTGCATAGCTGCATAAATTGTGTCACTTCCGCGTCGTCAGATGCCCACGGGCTGCCCGCTGCCTGTCTTCTTTGGCGGGACTTGTGCAATTAAGCAACAAGCCCGATGACTGACTGCCATCTACATACGTTAATTCAAGTGGCCACTTAGCCAGAGACTCGCTCATCTTGTATGAAATCAGAGGCAAGATTGCCTGTCAATTGTGACGACAATGATGTGCATGACGACTGAGCGTCCGCCTTTTGGCAGCTACTTGGCACGTGCCGGTCTTTAGGAGGAGTCGAAGCTTTACCCTTTCCTCACCTGTCCACTCCCCAAAGGGCCATCAACTGGTGGAGGAAATCCACCACCAAACGTAGCGCCACCGGCCGGCGAGCAGAAAATTCAACCCTTGGCCTGCATTATCGGGAAGCTTTCGACTGTCCCTGGGTGGCTGTGCGGAGGTCATTCAATGGCCTCTGATTTGCACTTTGCACTTTTGGCGGAAACTTTACGTCCAAGCTCATCTGTCATATGCCATATGATTGTCGTTGCAGCTATTATATAAACTATCTGACAAAGGCCATGCAGCTGGAGGATCCGCGCGGACGCAGTTACAAGCAGCTGCAGAACGAACGCTGCTCCACCGAGTCGATAGCCTTGCAGGTAAGTTTGTCATGCAGTTTATTGATTTTCCACCTTAACATTCGCCACTTTCCAGCAAATGGTCAGTACGGCAGCGACCTCCTCGCACAACAGTTCGCCGTATCACGTCTATCCGAGTCACAGTTTGACGGCTGTCAGGGCGTTTCAGGAGCGCGAGCAGTCCACGCTGCATAATATATCAACGAGTCCACTGCTGTCAGCCTCCTCCAAGGGACATTTGGTATGTGGAGCAATGTCCTGTGCCTCAGTATACGCCTAATAATAATGGTTCCCCTTTTGTTTCCCAGGAAATGTCTTCTCCTTTGCCGTTTCAACGCACCCGCCTGGGTGGGAATATGTCCAGACGTTCCACCATTCAGGAGACCTCATTCACCAATCAAACCGAAACGGATGGCGTGGTGGCCAAGATACAGAACATGTTCCCCACAGCTGGCGAGAATCACATTCGCCTGCTGCTGAAGCGGTAAGAGCTCCCCATCTGTGCCCTCCAGTCCACGCTTTTATGCTAATCCTGCGTAATCCACACTAATCTACGGACTTACATCTCTGTCTTCTCTCACGCTGCCGCTTCCTGCACCTTCACCTAACCCACCGCCATTGCTACATTCTTTTTCCACGCTTCCACTAACTAACTCCTCCGGCAGCTACTACAATCGCGAGGCCGTCGTCATCAGCGCTTTGCAGGTGGAGAAGCATCCGGTTACGATGCCCGGGCCCTTTGTGACGCCACCCGCAGATCGGCATCTGTTCCACAGCAATTCCGCTTTCTATATGACACCACCGGCGCGTCGCCTGGACATGGCGGCTAGTCGAGGCACCTCTCGCACGGCCAGTCCCCTGCCAGGCGGCCGTTTTGGTAGTCTCATGAGCATGCAAAGCGGTGGCCACTTGGCCCAAGTCCTGCCCCCGGGTGCTGCTGTGCCGCCAGCTTTGCATGGATCTCCGCAGTGGCGCAGTTCGCCCAAGCCGCACTCGTCGCCCAAAATGAAATTAAGGTTCGCCCCCCTGGCTGTTGTCCAAAGCGGTGGGAGATGGATGTGCGCCTCCATCTCTAACTGCGATAGATTTTTGTGTAGCTAGAAGTAGTTTAAAAAGTATTATTAATTTCTCAAGTAATTAAATCTCTCTGCCTGTTCCTTAGATACATGAAGAACATTTTTCCCAAGGCGGATGAAATGCTGCTGCTGGACATCCTGGCCAATGCGGACAACAATGTGCAGTTTGCCTCGGAGAAACTGATTTCTTTGGGCTACACGAAGCGCGAGATGCAACAGCCGCACAAGCCCAACAATCGTCCACCGGAGCATCCGAACGGTGATTTGGTCACGCAGCACATTCCACTGCGCCCCAAGGTGTACACAGAAGAGGAGAAGGCCAACAGTGAGTGGGAGGGATGACGCATTTTAATGTAATTGAGTTAATTAAATTCCCTTACTTATAGTGCAAAAACAGCTGAAGGAAAAGTATCCACAGATTGCAGAGCGCATCATACTGATGGCCTTGGAGTCGGTTAACTATGCCGAGGATCGGGCCACGCAGATACTGCAGATTGTCCAGGACGAGGATGAGCAACGTGACCAAAAGCATGTCGCTCCGCAGCCCAAGCAGCTGGATCTGGCAACGGTCACGGAAAGCGAGCAGGTGGATGGAGGTCATGCCGCAGACAGGTACATATGACATCGCAGGATGGTCACCCATGATTGTCGCCGCCCCACTCCCTGCTTACCCACCCATCTCTCTTTCTCTTATTGCCCTGCTGCTTTATCCGTTTGTTAACCGATTGCCTATTTTCTCTGTGAACTTTTGTTGCTGCCTTTGATAAAAACCAAAACAAATCTGAAACCGAAACCGATACCGATACCGAAACTGTTTCCCCCGAAAACCAACACAAACATTTTTCGCTTGTTTTGCGCTCGCTGCCATGCCATCATCATCATCATCATCATCATCCAGCATTCTCACGGTGATTGTGGAGCGAGCACCCACATCCACATCTGCCTGTGCACAGAAGCCACCACACAAGCGACACATTTTGCCATGCATCAATGTCACCACACCGTCGACGGCCACCACACAGATCATACTAGATCATCGCCAGTACACGCCCACAATGGAGGCGTACAAGGAAGTGAAGGAGGAGGCCACAAAGCCACTGTCATCCATTTCCAGTGCATCGGCATCCTCGTCACATTCATATGTCTCACCTGCACAGTCACCCACATTACAGCCCTGCTACGAACGCCTCACCACCAAGGGTATGCTGGCTCGAGCAACCAGCGGCGGAGGTGGAGGCTGTGGCTTTGGTAGCTTCAATCCAACAACAAACACAACAAACAGTTACAACAATTTGAACAATAGTAGCAAGAACTACAGCATCAGCGGCTACCTGCATGGCAATACCCCCTGCAATAGCAATGCTAGCTCCTATTCCTCCTATTCAACATCAATGACGTCATCATCGCTGGCATCGGCCAACACCAACTCCAACTCCTCATCCATAGCGAAGGCAATTGAAAGTCGCACGCGCACCAAAACCGATTCACTGAAGTATGCGTACCATTACCGTTTCCTATGGCGCATGTTTAGTCTTAAAAATAAACTTTTGAATGAAACTCATTTCGCATGCGACGTAGAGTGGCTACGACTCCAGCTAATCCTTATTTTGTTTCTTCTTTTTCCTTGGTTTTCATTTGGAATGTTTAATCCTAATGTACTCTAGAATTATCATTATCATACGTTGCCAAATGTCCTTAAATAAGATTTCACTCGCCCCAACAGACATCGACAACAGTCCACGACCTTTGGCAACTCCCACAATTCGGATTCTTCAGAGTTTCAATCCATAATCGAACGCATGGCCACGCTGGGTGCCAATTCGCAGCTCACCAAAGGCGCTGATGAAAATCTACTCTTGTAAGTGGCACAAAGTCAAAGTCTTTATAGATCAATTATCATTGTTTCCCCTTTCGCAGAGCTGACTACGTCACCTGGAATGGTCCCAATACCACGCTCATCCACAAGCAGCCCACGCACGGACCAGATGCCAGTCTGTTAAGCGAACGCAGCTACAAGACAACTGGCAGAAACTCCGAACTGTGCAAGGGAGCCAAAGCGGGACTGGCCAAGGGCAGCATCTATGCTCAGGGCAGCAACAAGAGTCCCAACATCAAGTGCAACTAGACGGGCGGACAGAACCCTAAGTCTCCTCTAGAGTGCCAAAGGGAGAACATCAATAATCGTAGAATAATGCACAGAACCCTCCAGAAATTCAGACTAATATTTTTTATGTGTCGTGAAACATTTTCGCTATACTTGTTCACCACTAACAACACGCTTCATGATTAAGTATATCCACACACACACCACACCACTCCAAAACACATTCCATCCAAGATCCAATTATTTTTTAGTGTAAAAACTTTGTCACTTGGAAAATAAACTGAGTTTAAAACTAGCAAACTACTATCTTAATCATATGTTATGCCTAGCTGGTTAGGGTTATGATACAGAAAGGCAGAAATGGGCGGACTTAGACTTCGTCTTCGTTGAGGAGCATGTTGGGGATGCCGTCGGTGATGGGGAAGATTCGCCCCGTCTCAGGGCACTCCAACTGGCCCTCCAGCACATCGATTTCGAACAGAAGATGGTGCAACTTTTGCAGTAGCTGTTCGTTGTCGGCTATGCTCTCAGGCTGCACAGCGGGTATGTCTTCAGCAAGCTCCGCCTGTTGGGATAATGATGACAATCAAAAATATTCTCCAATTGAAGCATTTTACACTCACCACTTGTGCAGCTCCATAGACAGCGGACCAGTCCAGCTTTGGCAAAAGTCGCTCCACAAACGTCGGGTTGAATTCAGTCTCCACCAGTTCCTTTTTGCTGATCTATATGCAAAAATCATAATTCCATGAAACAATCAATACGAGACACGCCGCACTCCAGCACTCACCGTCAGTTTCAGGGGAAAGCCAACCTTTACGCCCTTTATGGCCATCGATGTAAGGAAATTATAGGTGCTGAGCTTCATTTTAGGGCTGCGTAATGTGTATTTGTTCGCTTATTATGAAATTTATTGTATTTTCAAAAAGAAATAAACACGCGCACGTTTTGCTGCTTCTTAGTTTTTTTGCCATTCACTTTCAAACGCACACACAACAGCTGTTTAAATTTAAATATGTTGGCAGCCCCGGAACACTTTTACGACGGTATTTTAATGGCGGGTTTTTTCATTTTTATATTTGGTTTGAATACGCTCTCGTTAACAATCCAACAAAAGGAAGTCATAAAAACTACCCTATCTTATGGAGAATTGATTGATGGATTGGGTTAAGTTATAGTTTTACTGCTTAAAGTTCTAACTAGCTGGTAATCTTAAACAGAAGATCAAAATCAAGGAAAATGATTTACGATTCGGTGTATTTATGGTATATTTTTAAAATGAGAACGTATATTTTTGGTGGTGGTGTGGTATATTTTATCGATAAATAACAACAAATAAAAACAAAAATATCTGCAACAACTGCTGCAATTTAATACTTTTTAGGCGTTTCTAGATGTAATTAAAGTTCGATTTCTGGCTAAAACAGTGACACACAGCAGAATAAACGAGTGAAGGCTAGAAATGGAGGATATATTCCACTGGTGCCGCGAGGGCAACTCGATTCAAGTGCGCCTCTGGCTGGACGAGACGGAGCATGACATGAATCTGGGGTAAAACGAAACAAATAACTGTTGAATACTTTCCCCATTTGTAGGGGAACAGCACTAACAATAATGCACTTCCATGCGGGCATACGCCTTTCCAAGGAATTTATAGTTACTCATCCACTTATCCGCCCCAAACCATTGAATGGCAGCCCATTCAAGAGTCTGTCTGGCAGTGACGTCATGATTTATTCTTGAGTTGTGTAAACAGACCGAGGCGCATACATACGCATAGCAGCAACAACAACTCGGAGGCGTCGGACAGCATAAAACCTGCTGCTTCCCACACACTTTTGTATCTATATTTATATGTTTTCATTGATTTTTCCTTCCAGAGACGATCATGGCTTTAGTCCTCTGCACTGGGTGGCCAAGGAGGGACATGCCAAGCTGGTGGAAACCCTGCTGCAGCGTGGCGCCCGTGTCAATGCCACGAATATGGGAGATGACATCCCACTCCATTTGGCTGCCGCTCACGGTCATCGCGATGTTGTCCAGATGGTGAGCAGTAGTAAAAATATATTTAAATTGGAAAATCCTGCTAAACCGATCCTCTTTTTCAGTTGCTGCGTGAAAAGTCTGATGTGAATGCTGTAAACGAGCACGGCAACACACCGCTGCATTATGCCTGCTTCTGGGGCTATGACATGATCTGCGAAGATCTGCTCAGTGCTGGCGCGCTGGTCTCCATTGCCAATAAGGACGGGCACACGCCCGTTGACAAGGCAAAGCCGAGTCTGGGCAAGCGTATGCAGGATTTGGCTGAGAGGAGTGGCCAGGAAATGAAGGTCATTAGCTTCAAGGAGCAGAGCTGGCAGGGTATGAAGACTAGGTCACGAGATGCTACGCTTTCACGCTTCAAGGGCATCAGCATGGGCGACCTGGACCTGCACACCAAGCTCTCGGTGACTGCCTCGGGCGAGACATGGCGTGGACGCTGGCAGAAGAACGATGTCGTGGCCAAGATTCTGGGCGTGCGTCAGTGCACGCCGCGCATCTCGCGCGACTTCAACGAGGAGTTCCCCAAGCTGCGCATCTTCTCGCATCCCAACATTTTGCCCATCATCGGAGCTTGCAATTCGCCACCCAATCTGGTGGTGATTAGTCAGGTGAGTCTGTGCATTTCTGCTGCTATGATGAAGGAATCAAATTTGTTTTTGTTTTAGTATATGCCACGGTCATCGCTCTTCAACTTGTTGCATGGAGCCACTGGCGTGGTGGTGGACACCAGCCAGGCGGTGAGCTTTGCTCTGGATATTGCCCGAGGCATGGCCTTCCTCCATTCGCTGGAGCGCATCATACCCACATATCATCTGAACAGCCATCATGTGATGATCGATGAGGATCTGACGGCAAGAATCAACATGGGCGATGCCAAGTTCTCGTTCCAGGAGAAGGGACGCATCTACCAGCCGGCATGGATGTCGCCAGAGGCGCTGCAGCGCAAGCCAGCGGATCGCAACTGGGAGGCCTCCGATATGTGGAGCTTTGCCATACTCATCTGGGAGCTGACCACACGCGAGGTGCCCTTCGCCGAATGGTCGCCCATGGAGTGCGGCATGAAGATCGCCCTGGAGGGACTGCGGGTTAAGATTCCACCAGGCACCTCCTCCCACATGTCCAAACTAATCTCGATCTGCATGAACGAGGATCCGGGCAAGCGGCCCAAGTTCGACATGGTTGTGCCCATTCTCGAGAAGATGAAACGTTGAAGCTGCAGCTGCAATTTATAAGCCAAAATGTGCCTTGTCTACAACGTGTTTTTGCCAGCTAATTTTAATACCAATTTGTGTTACCATTTTTGTCCTAACTGAACCTAACCGAAACTCGAACCGAAAGCAGCCGAACGGCTGCCGTTTCTCTCTCTTGTACCAATTCTCTGTCTAGAATTTATGTTTCCTGTGTCTCTCACCTTCGTTTCTTATGATTTTCCCATGATGTTTCGCTGTCCGAGTGCTCGATTTTATCGTACATTTTAAGTTCGATGAATGTTAGGATCGTATTTATACAGAATTATATTTGTTACTAATTAATTAAATAAATAAATGATGTATGGATGTACCTACAAAAAGGCGGTACAAAATACTCTTACCCCTGGGTACAGCTTTTTCCCTCAGCTGAAGCTTTCTGCTGCCTGCACTGTGTGGTGGAGTGTGGGTGCGCGGTATGGGCGGGCAACGTGAGCAAACGTCCCTGACCTGGTTTCGTTTTCATGCACGCGATTTTTTGCAGCTCGCGTGGGCAGAGGCAGACCGCGAGGCGATGTGCCAGAGCGCCGGCGTGAGAATTACCCTCAAAAGAGAGCGAGAAAATGTTGTTTAATTTGTGTAAACTAAAAGTAATTCTTTGAAGTGTTTATTTTGCTTAGTAGATGTTCCATTAAATGGAATATTACTTTGTTTTTTTTGTAATGTTTGTAAATGGCTCGCTTTTCTGCATGCCTCCTAGCTCATAGAGTTGACTCTCTCTTTTGGCTCGGCTCTCACCGGCTTTGGGGCTCGGCTCTCTGTTTATGTTTTTGCGGCACCAATTCATTTGGGGCTGCTGACGTTGCTGTTGCTTTTGCTGTTGTTTTTGTTGCCGCTGCCACTGCGCTGCCATTGACGTTGCGGCAAGCTTGCACCGAGCCATGTGATTGTTTTGTTGGTACATCCTGTGCCATAGCCAGTGGACCCCTCCTCCCTGTTGTTGTTGTTGTTTCTGCTGCTGCAGCTTTAAAGTTTTCTTGTTTTATTTTTGTTTCTGTTTTACTGCATTTTGTTGCCGTCGTCGTCCTGTCGCTGGCGCTGTCGTACGACCAGGACGTAGTCGTAGTCGTCGGTACTTTTCGGGCCCAGAGGCTGGTCGGTTGCTCGGTCGCCCCACAGACACACAGAGACACAGACACAGACATGGGCAACGGCAACGGCAGAACTGCAGCTGCAGTGTCCAAAAGCCGATTTACAGTTTTCCATGCCAGTTATGACGGCAGCCAGCCAAACGGCAACAGCATTTCCGCAATGGCCGAGGCACCCATAAACAATTAATTCCAGTGTAAAGTCAAGAAACGTGCGGGAAGAACTAATCAAAAATCACTAAAAATAATAAAAAGCTTTAAATTGTTAACCAACACAAACGCACACACTGACACACACACACACATGCTGTAGGGAAAGTGAAAAATTCCATGGCATCTTTTAGGCGTTGCGTGTAAGAGATTTCTCGTGCGAATTCGTTTGCTTCGGTGCTGTGAGTGTTTTTTCGTGCCAGAACTTGAGTGAGAGCAGCTGCTTAAATGTATTTTAGTGATTGCACACAACAACAGCCAGCCCCTTGGAGGGCCGGCAATCCATGGAGTATTCAAGCACAAAAGGTTTGAATCACATTGAACAGGAGCGGAATCTGGATCGGCATCGGGATCGGGAGCAGCTGCCACAAACCAGGTTAATATTTATAAATAGTGAAACCACATACGTGTATCCTGGGGGTGTCTGTGTGTTGCGGCTGTGTGTGCTCCAATTTGCGGCCACACCTGAGCAAAGAGGGGGCAAAACTTTTCATGCTTTCGCTTTTAGTCTCATTTTTATTTCAATTAACCATACAATTGCCCGGGCAGTGCACAGGCACAGGGAGTCCGCAAACTGGCAGACAAAGGATGCTGGAGGAGCAGGGACCAAGTAGGCTGCCTGGAGGACTGACTGACTGCCTGCCACATCATTTCAAATGAAAAAGTTTCCCATCAACAGCAGGGCCACAGCACAGTTTGCTGCAGTTACTCCATCATTCATTTGGCTGACGAGTGCGCCACTAACCTACTTCCTTCCACACACAAAAGCCGCAGCAGATGCGGCACCTACTGGCACTGCCACTGATGCTGCTGCTGCTGCTGCTGCTGCTGTGTTGTGGTTATTGTTGTTGCAGTTCGCGATGTGGCAGCTCATGCTGCCGGCATGCCACTGCCACGCCCACACAATGGCAAGTAGGCAGGCAGTCAGGCGGTAGGCTCGAGGCAGATGACATTGGCGTTGATGAGTGAAAATGGGAAAATTAAAAAAAAAACCACAAGGAAGAGCAGTGGGGGGAGGAGGAGGCATAACAAATGATGAGATTTATTTTGCATCAAGCGGAGCGTGAGCATCTACATCTCCATCTCTGCTCGCTGCTGCTCTAAGCGATCGATGGATGCCTGAATAAATCAAAAGTTCCATTTTGCAGATTTCAGCACAAAGGAACACCACAGGGACAGAGGCACAGGCACAGGCACAGGCAGAGACAAGCAGAGAGTGGAAGAGAGAGAGAGAGAGAATGGGAAAAGGGCTTCTTGCCAAACTAAAATGCCACATGGGCAAATATTTCACTTGTGCTTTCGAGCGGCGCATTGAAAAGCGAAAATATTGTGACAATACAAGCGGCAGCAACCACAGCAGCACAGCAACTGCCACAAGCAGCAGTAACAACAACATAAACTGGCAGCAGCAGCAGCAGCCTCAAGTGGAAGTGCTCGGTCTGGGCACTCGACTGAAGTGCATAACAACGTGGAAATATTGTAAAAGCAAACTACAAGGCATAGAGACAGATACGGATACAGATACAGAGACAGCATCTGGTTGAACGTGTGTCCTGTGGCAGGTCCACAAAATGGGCAAAAAGAACATGTAGCAATGGGAAGAAGGGAGCAGGAAGTACCATGCAAAGCATCTATTGATTTTCATTCCCTGAGGATGCCACAAGATGCCACACAAGCATGGTCTTCTGCTTTGACTTGGCTTTTCCTTTCTGTGGCGTGTGAGCAAGACCAGTGCGTATACTTGATTTATCCGATTTTCAAAAGCCGCATTAGAGGATGGGGCGGTGTGAGGTGGAAAATGTGTTGCTCTCGAGTGCTATCGGCCTGCGCTTCATCTGTGCGGGCAATAAATCTCGAGATTTCCATAAAACTTTTCAACTTAAAGGAAAGGCCTCGCTCTCCTCTCTTCGGCCCGGAAATGGCTCTTAAATTTCAAGCACAGCCACAGCACAGCACAGCTCAAGACTATCGATCAAAGTGGTGGGTTGGGGGGGATGGAGTGAGCCTGTGGCTCAAGTGACACCACCACAACCCCGCTCGTCAGCCAACGTTGATATTCAATAAATTCTGGCCCGAGCCGGACTAGGGAAAATGGCCAATTACGAGGCAAAACGAGTTAAGAATTGTGCCATACAGGGGCTACCTCGCTCCCCCTCTCCCCTCTCCCGCTCTCTGGTTTTGCTCCCTCCTTTTGCTATCTCTTTGGGAATGAATGGCCATAGCCGCCTGCACTTAACATGAATGGCCATTTTTCCAATCAATTACGTAAAAGCGAGAGAGGGGGAGATGTTTTGTTGGGGTAGGAAAGTGTAAGAACGTGCAAAGAAAATAAATAAGGGAAGGGTTCGCCTTGGCTGCGGCCTGCCACTGGCGGGGTCGTTAGTGATGGGTGGAAACCAACCTTAAGCTAAAGATAATTACTTGAATTTTTAAGCCAGCTTGCTGGCGGTTCTCCTGTTAGCAATTAACTTTGACATTGACATTGTGGCCATTATAGAATATTTAAATATACATTTGGTACCTGTTTTGATGCACTTGCAGACTGCCCGTTGTCATTGGGAGCTACTTCAAGATTGAATCCCCAACTGGTTCGACATCATCCGCAGCAGCTACAGCTTTGGGCAGCCAGCGTTGCCTTAATACGCCCCCAACCACGCCCAGCAGCCCACTGAGAGAGGCGCCCCAGAGCCCCTCGGACGGACACATCTCCTCGCTGAGCTCCCATTCCGGCTCGGGATGCAGTGATATCCTCTTGGGTAAGTCATTCTCCCTTTGCCCGTTGCGAATCTGTTATTTATAGCTGGCCACGAACCAGATCATGACCCAGGAACAAAGAAATGCAAACGAATTGTAGCATTTTATTGAGGTTGCTGACATTCAAACCAAACATTGCCCGCGGCTCCACCGCCTGCAGTTTGGTTTGGTTTACTTTACATGCCACAAACACGCGCAAAGTGTTGTGCCTGGCCTGCCACAATTTGTGGCTATCTCTTTGCATTCCACATTCTATATTCTCTTTTCATTTCCTGCCATTCTAACTCTGCCCCAGTCACACTTAAATTTCAAACTTATTTGATCTGTTTGGGGTTTGGAACATTTCCACCCATTGAATCGTCTCCCAGTGCCATTTCAAGTGATAATTTCTAACGCAACCCTCACTCCGCTGCCGTCAGTTTGTTTACCAGTCCCCTGTCCGTCCCAATGCTATCAGAATCAGTCGTTGGGCCTCGGAAACTGGCCGCAAATGTTGCCAGCAGCAGAAAAAATGTGCAAAGTAAACAGAAATTCACATTCAAGAGAATTTCTACAATCTTAGAGACTACACTGTGAGAAATGTAACCATTTTTTAAACATTTAATTTAGAAAGAAAAGAAAAGAGAAGCAAAGAAAACTTTTTCTAACATGTCTATTGAGGGTGAATCCAGGAAGAAAATGTCTGCTCCTACTTGATGTAACTTCTGTCAAATTGTTTCTTTGCGTGTAGCGGGCAGTGGCATAATAATAAGCAAATAAATAAAACTAAAACTAAACGCATTTTGCGCCTCTTTGTGGCTGTCCGCGTAATGCTGATGTTTGTGTGCTCTTTGTTGTTGTTGTTGTTATCGCTGCTCAGATGTTGCCCATGACGTTGCCTAGAAGTCATTGAACTTAGGACCAGCCGCCGCCCGCCGCCAACAATAGCAAAATAAATAAAACGCGAAAACGCGACCAGCAACGCGAGAGGCAACAGAAAAAGTCAGAGAGAAAAGCAGCAAGAAGAAGAAGTCTCTTTCTGCCAGAGAAAAGTGGAAGCAACAGCACGCATCACCCCACCACCCCTTCGAATCTCCACAGAGAGTGTTGATGCGGAGTGAGAAATTAATGCACTTTCTTGCCGAAAACTTCAGAGAAAATATACACTCGAAGAAAATCCAGAGTGGTAGCGAATTTAAGTGGTTTTCTGGAAGTAAATTCGTTCAACTTGAATCATTGTGATATGCAAAAAAAGATAAATTTAAAAAATGGAATAAATTCTTAGATTAATTCTTAAACTTATAAATTCTTAATTCTTGAAATTCTTCATTCGTGAAATGACAAAGGGGGAAGCCGCCTGGCCCCTTGCCGCACCAAAAAACAACTCTCACTCGAAGCACACACTCACACACACACTTAAGCACATCGATTACACAATCTTTGCGAGCGGCATTTTCATTTTTCTCTTCCTGGTTCGTCGTCATCACCATGCGCTCTGCTCTGGACAGCCAGAAACAGCAGCAGGCAAGCAAGCAGCAGCAGCCGTGTGTTCGTATGTGTGGGGAGATCAGGTTTTATCAGGCAACGCAATCGAACATATTACGTTGGGTCGGTTCGTCGTGCAATGGGTTGGCGCTGCAACGGCGCTGGTGGGTGGTGCTGTTGCGTGCTGGTTCGATTGGACTTCGTCTTCGTCGTCGAGTCGTTTCGCTTTCGTGGAGGATCGGTTGACGACTTCGCAACGTTCGCGAAGTTTGCCGTTTTCTTGTTATTTACAGTTTCTGGTGGCTTTCGCTACCCCGTTGGAAAAATTGCAAGCAGCAGCTGCAGTTGCCGTCGACGTTAACGTTGGCGTAGCTGGTGGCTTTGCAGCCGTTGCTGATCATTGACTTTCGTTGGTTCCCTTTTGGGCCAGGCATTCGTCAAGCAGACGGAAGGGTTGAGCCCCGGAGACGTGGGGCGCTGAAGCGGTATGTCAGGAACAATGGGGAAAATGTGTGCAAATATTGAACGAATAATTTTTGAACATAATTAATTTTAGTTATATTTTATTTAATCTACTAAAATTAACATTCGTGAGGGTTCAATGGGAAGGTATGGGTAAATGTATTTAATTCTTATAGGGTTCCCTTTGCCCCTATTTAAATTATTTTTTAGTTGATCTTCAAATAGTTTTTCTTGTGTCAAAAACTTGTTTGCCACTGCCACTTTCCACTGCAGCATTTTCCACTTCCGCATTGTACAACTCTCCCACTCAGACAGAGCGAGAAGGCCTGTCTCTCTAACTTGCTCTCTTTGACTCCGACTCTGACTCTCTCACGAAGCAGAAGAAGGTTCTTTGACTCCCGCCCCATTGAAGGCGCCCCCACTTCATCGTCATATTTCTCTCTCTGCCAAACAACATCTATTGCTCTCTCTCTTTCGATAATAGTGCAAACTAGGTAACGGTTCCCTCTCTCTCTTGCTCTCTCTGTCTTTCTTTCTCTATGCACGCGCTTGTGTGTGTGAAATTGATCTTGAGTGGTGTGTGTGTGGATGCACTTGGACGTTGGCGTCGCTGCCAGCTGAGGCAGCGCAATAGAAATTGAAAATAGCAACCAGGAAAAGAGTTGCAAATGGAAAAGTGCAACAACAAGAGGCAGCAGAAAGAAGCAGCAGCGAGAGTGGCAATGCCTGATGTTCTTGTTGGTAGTATTGGTTGTTGCTGCTGGTGGAGATTAGAAAGATAGGAAAACCCGGGGGAAGCATGGCTACAGCTTGCAGCACATTGACTTTTACTCCGCTGCTGCTGCCGCCTCCTCCCACTCCCCCAGAGATGCGATGCCGCGCCTCGTGCTGGAAGCAACGGCGCTACGTAGTTTTCCCCTGCCCACTCCATTGGGCCACACAGAGGCCCCAGCCACATTATATTTTCCTGCTCTTTCCACACACACACACACACAGGCATATGGGGATTCTTGTTCTTTCGCGACGTTGCCGTCGTCGTCTTGGACTTGGTCTTGGTCTCTGCTGCCACTGCCACTGCCGCTGTCGTAGCGTTGTTGTCGTAGGTTCTGTTCTGCAGCTCTCGCCTTGGATTTGTGTTGCGCATTTGGAGCGCTGCGAAGTTGGCGCTTGGATCTCGTCGAGGCGAGAGTTTCGTGCGCGCGATCGCTGCAATTTCAGAATTTCTCCTCAACGCGCATCGGGAAAAACCCAACCCATACCTCAAATATCGTATATCAAATATCGATCTGAACTTGAACACAGAAAGATCTACGTGGATCCAAGGAGGAATCCAAGCAACACGGAAGTGAATTGAATACACAATAAAAACATACAACAAAAATGCATGTTATAATAATTATGAAATGAAAGCAAAGTGCAAGTGAAAACGAAGAAAGGGGGAGAGGGAAATGGCAGAGCGAGAGAGCAATCAAACAGAGAAGATCAGGGGGGAGAGGCAGATAAACAGTGAAAGCTCTCTTGGGCGAACGGACAATAAACTCGCTTACGGACACGAAATCCATGAAATTATTTAACCCACAAGAGAGTTTTCACTGTAAATAGCTTCAGGCATAGCTTGAGCTTTGTAGCCTTTGTATTTAGATCTAGAATTAATTTAGGTTAGAAGCAGCTTCAAAGATTTTTGCAGATTTCGAATACCATTCTCCTACCCGAAAAGAAAGAAAGTTACCAAAATTTCCCCTCAAATAGTTTGGAAATCGCTTAAAGAAAAGATCCCTAAATCGAATGAACTTTAACTAAAAGCTCGAGAGCGTGTGACTGCCTCGATATAAAGTGCCAAAGGACTTGGGAGTGTGCCCAAAAACCTGACCCCAAAAAAAAATGCTGAAAAGTTCCCGCAGTGGCCGCAGCAAGATGTTGATGATGCAGATGATGGATGGCCATGTAACCGCAGCGATCCGAGCAACATGGATGTATACCAAATAGAGCTGGAGGCACAGGCACAAATCCGCTCCAATCTTTTGGTTGAAAATTGTGTGAAGCACGCAGTCGGGCAGCCGCAGCAGCAGCTACATTCGCAGAAGGAGAGAAAGGATAGTCACATCAAGGACTTTGACGGCAACGAGGAGGAGCAGGAACAGGACGAGGACGAGGAAGAGGAGGAGGAGGAGGAGGAGGAGGAAGAGGAGGAGGACGACGACAACGCAGAAGAGGAGGAGGAACACGAGGACAGGCTCCTGCCAGAAGTCAATTTCGATGCAAATTCGGATTTCAATTTGCATTTCTTTGACACGCCCGAAGACTCCTCGACCCAAGGCGCCTACAGCGAGGCCGCCAGCCGCGACCTAGACTCCGATCAGGACCAGGAGCCGGAGGAAGATCCACAGCAGCAGCGGGAGTTGCAGGATTGCCTCAGTGCCATCGAGGCGGCGGATGCGGATCCCCTGCAGCTGCTGCAGTGCGACGACTACTACGGCCAATCCGCTGCAGGCGAGGGCGTGCCAGGCGCACCAGTCATAGCCACAACTGCCACTGCACCGCATCCCCATGCACACCATAATCCAAGCAATCCACATCTGAATCCGCAGCACAACACAAACTCCAATCCACACGCACACCAACAGCAGCAGTCCCAGCAGCCGCAGCTAAACTGCACCTTGAGCAATGGTAGAGGTGCTCTGTACACCATCAGCAGTGTGCATCAGTTTGGTCCGGCCAGCAGCAGCAGCAGACACCACCACCACCACCACCACAGCTCCTCACCCAACTCGAGTGGGGCACACGCCTCGCCGGACAGCGGCTGCTCTTCGGCCAGCTCCAGCTCCTCCCACGCCGTTTCCTCATCATCGTCTTCGAGCTGCTCGGAGCATTTTGGTCGCTCAGCCGCAGCCGCAGCAGCAGCAGCAGCAGCCGCAGCAGCCGCAGTCGTCGTTGCATCTGCATCCACAGCCACATCCACGTCGCTTGTCAATGTCAGCGGGAATGCTCATACATCCTCGTCAGCGGTTAGCTCCAGCTCCAGCTCCAACTCCAGTCCCAGCTCCGTCTCCATTGCCAGCTCCAGCGCAGCAACATCTTCATCTGTTGCGCATCTGAACAAAGGCCATTCAGGTATGTCCAACTCCAGCTCGAAGATCGGGAAACCCGCAGCTCTTCCGCGTTTGGGCTTCCCCATTGTTGTCGCAGTTGCAAAAATTATGTTCAATAAATTTGCATTCATTGCATAACACGGCAGCGGCAGCGGCGGTGGCAGCAACAACTGTAGTCGCATAACCAATTGAAAGTTGCTGCCAGTCGGATTTTCTTCTCCTTTTGGGGGGGGGAAACTATTAAAGCGCAGCATGAAAAATGTGAAAATGAATATAATTCCCTGTTATTGGCCAATGTTGCTGTTGCGGTTCTGCCTCATGTTGCAGTCGCAACTCTTCTCCTTACGGCTGCCAAGAAAATTGCTTTTCATGTTGCAGTCTGTCAATGCACACGCCGCTTGCCATGCAAAAAACCGATTTAATTTTCATAAATCGCTCTCGGAATTGGTCGCTCCTCCCATGATATGATTGCAATGGGATTGAGCTGGGAAAGCATCAAGGAAAACCATTTGAGAGGCAGCAGGGAGAGTGCTGCGGCAGCCCTGAGCTAATGTCATAAAAACCATAAGCACTCGAGCAGCGGCGTCTTGGCTGGACTTGCTAATTGCCTTAGTGCCTGCGCCTGGCCTGGCAAGGATTCTTGTGGCATGGGGCAACATTTAATTGCAGCAATTAGTGCGGCCAGTTCCAGGCAAATGCAAAATGCCAGCAAATTAAATCTAGGGGAAAGCCAAATACAATTTCAAACAGGGGAAAAATAAGGAACTCCAATTGATATTTGTATCTGCCCCATGCCCCCCTTGGCTCCTTCAATCACTTGCCTGCAGATAAATCCAAGAAAGTGTACAAAAAATCAAGCAAATATATGAAGTCTTTGTCGTCTATCGTCTGTGCCTCTGCCACATACTGTTTGCTGTCTGACAACGCGGAAATGCCAGCCAGCAAGCAGTCAGTCCATGCCACATTTTCTTCCCCAGCTCTTGCCCCTCCCTGGGCCACTCGAACAATGGCATTTGAAATTGTCAACTTACACAAAAGCGACCAAATGATTTGCATTTGAACGCGGCGCGAAAATGAAAACCAGGCACTTGAATTTCCTTTTGGTTTTTCATACACGCCCAGGCACAGGCGGCCCAAGACCGACGACATTTTCCAGACATCGTTGCTTGCTTTTTGCTGCTGTTGTTGTTGCTTCTGCTGTCCAATGGTGAAAATTCAATTTGCAGTTGCACAAGCGCGTAACGCGCAGTGTTCCCCCATCTGCATAAGCCTCCACACTCCGCGCGCAGCTGGCTCTCCCCCTTGCTAGCCGCCCATCATCTGTGGAGTTGCCTCCATTGCCCTGCCGCTGCACCCCTCTCCCGCTGCTTGTCGGCGCGTGCGAGTTGCACATTAATTTCATTTTGTTTCGCATTTTTCGAGGTGTGGCAACAACTGTGCGGCAGTTCAAACTCCGCGCTTAGTTCATTTGCCTCTTCCTGCGCTGCGGCATTAGAAAATTCAGAAATACAAATACAAGCGAGAAACAAAGTCGAATTGAATTCAAAATGGAAAAAAACGCCAAGAAGCATTGGGTTGCGTCTGGCTTCAATTTTTTTGTGCAGTCTTTTTCTGCCTTTTCCCATTTTCCATTTGGCATTTGCATTGCAAATTTCGTTTCGGCTCCAGCAGGGAAATTGTGTGGCTGCAGTTTTTACTCGTGACTGAGGCAGGAGAGGGTAACATACAGGCAGGCCGGCAGGCAGGCAGGCAAACTGTTGTAGGCGTATACGTGATTTTTTTTGGCATTTCTTCTTATCGCACATCGCACCCTGCAGCAGTTGAATGCACCCTGAAGCTGTTGCATTTGTGACTTGCCACAGTCCGTGCTCACAGCGCAGGGAAATTGCGGATGATTAAGGAAGAAGGCAAAATCGATTTGGAGAGAGTTTCCCTTGATTGAAAGTGCCACCTAAAGTTGCCTCTCGCTTTAGTTTGTCTTTCCATCGATTGCTGCCTTTGAAATGTCCTCCCGAATTGGTGTTTCCAGAGCACACATCAGATTTAGAGCGTGCGATATGATTGCTGACAGCAAAACTCATTTGGCAAATTGAAATTGCTGTGCTGTGTGTGGCATGGCAGCCCAGGCTGTTGCATAATCAGACAACTTGCCAGACAACTTTCGTGCGAGGGAAATGTAAACGAAATCCAATGAATTTTTCCTTTTGCAGAGCCACAGCAGCAGCAGCCACAGACAACGCAGCAGCTACAGCAGCAGCAGCAGCAGCAGCAGCAGCCGCCACACTCACATCAGCAGCAACAGTTGCAGCAGCAACAGCAGCACCCCCAGCAGCAGCAGCAGCAGCAGCAGCAATCTTTTGGCATAGCCGACTCCAGCAACAACAACACTAGTAGCAACAGCAACAACAACTCCAACGGCGTCTCCTCAAAGTCGTTTGTGCCGTGCAAAGTGTGCGGGGACAAGGCCTCTGGCTATCATTATGGTGTAACCTCCTGCGAGGGTTGCAAGGTGAGTTGCTCCAGGCACAGTCCGCTCCCAACTTCGCTCACTAAACTCTCACTAACCTTGCAGGGCTTTTTTCGGCGCAGCATCCAGAAGCAGATCGAGTACCGGTGCCTGAGGGACGGCAAGTGTCTGGTCATACGGCTGAATCGGAATCGCTGCCAATATTGCCGCTTCAAGAAATGCCTCTCCGCTGGCATGAGCCGCGACTGTGAGTACCCAAATGTTGCACAAACAAAGTGAAGGGGAGGCTGCACCTAGTTTGGGGCTTTCCAACAACTTTATTAGCTGCGAAAATCGCAGTGAAAGATCGCAGATTATGTCAGCCACTGCCGCGGGCCATTGTCAATGGTTTTGGATTACTTTATTCCCACTAATTGAATCGATATGCTGATGCTTCCTGAAACGTTGTTAAAGCCTTTACTTACGATCATTTTGCCATTACGAAAACGAGTTTATTGTCTGTCTAAGCACCCATAAACCGCTCCGTGCAACCACTTGAGGGGCAGCTGGGCAACGACAGCTTTACGTGCTGCCAAAATCCACCCACGGGCCAAGAGCTTGAAATTAGTTTTTATGACTTTTTCGCGGCGGCCGGCGAGAAACTCCAGAGGGATACCTTTGGGTAGCTGCTTTCGAATGCAATTTATTTGATGTTGCACAATTAATTAACAAAAAAAAGATCCGAAACTCCAGGCAGCAGCAAGGCAACATCGTTGCAACACCAAAACAGGGGGGGGGGGACTCTGTGGGTGTGTTTGTGTGTGCGGCAAAAGATATTTGTTGCTGTCACTGTCATTGTTGCTGTCGCTGTCGCTGCACGCGAGCAACATTTATTAGTCGTGTCTATTGCCTGCAACATTTGTTGCAACGTTTTTATGGCTTTTGTCTCGCTGCAGCGGCGTGCCGTGCCTGGTGTTGGGCAAACATTTCCTTAATTTTTCACCAGCGCCCACGCAGTCCGCCAGTCCTCCAGCTCCTCGACCCACACGCTGCTCCACTGTGATTTCCTCACAGACTCTCTCTCTCTCTCTCTCTCCACTCCCAGATTGTACGACAAAAGCCTTTTGGTGTTTGCTGTTACCACTTTTAATGATTTTTCCAGTGCAGAGATTTTCTTGCCGTGTTGCTGCAAGCAGGGAAATGCTCTAACCTGAAAGCATTGGGCCACATTTGGTTTGGCTTTCATGTCAAATCTTTTTCTTAGCGTTTCTTCTTGCGTTTCGGTTGCTCTAATGAAAGACTGTGGTCATACCTGTTGTCGTGTGGCGTATTTCCCTCTCTGGTAGAGTATTGCCAGCTTCGTTCCCATGACCCAAGTTTTCCTGCTGCTGCTGGCTCTTCCTGCTTTGGTCCTGGCTTTTGCTTCGAAGACTTTTACTTTGCCTCCGCATGCATACGGAAAGTTCAATAATTTAGTTAAATTGCTTTTGTGGCAAGTTTTGGTTCGGGCTCCTGCTGCCTGGTGGGCGTTGCGACGTTTCTCCATTCGAGGCGCCTCTTGATATTCGCTTTGCTCGCTTTAATTAGACTTTTGTCGAGTCAAATGGCAAGCAGGGGGCAGGGCGCTGGCGCTGGCGGGTTATTATGGTTTATGGCAAATGCAGCAATTGCCATTTTCTGATTGCCGATTGTGGCGATTGTCGATGGCCTATTGGCTGTTGCTGCCTGCTGCCACTCCGTGAGAGATTTTCCAATTAAATTCCCGCTCAGAAATCAGCCAAATGCGACCGAAATTTCGCTGTGCAAATGTTTGAAGTTGTTGGATTTTAATGGGTCATGCCACTTGGCATTAGCCGGCCCTTCCCCCGATTCTACCAAATGTAATTATGTTGCCCCCGTGTTGCAACTTCTGTGCTGCGCTTCTGTTTGTGTCTATCTGTGTGGGCGTGGCCTGGCTGGCTTTTATTTAATTTGCAAAAGCTTTTGTTGGCAGCGACAACAAAGTGCAATAAAAAAGGCAAAGTAACGCGACGCTTGCCAAGCACAAATTACATTTCGGATGTTGCAGCAGCATCAGAGGCAGCGGCAGCGGCAGCAGCACTTTGCATGGCTCTGTAGGAATTTGGGTCAAAAATAAAACACACACACACACATCTACAGGGGGTCTTTATGCCGGCATGCGGCATTTTGTGGCATCAGCATGCAGCATCCATCGCGTGTGCAAGAGAGCTTAAACTCTGCTCCCAGGACTCTGGCCTGGCATTAATCAAATTTATGTGCAAATATCCAGCAAAAGTTGGCTAATTGAAGGCAGTCTCTCCGCCGCTCTTGCCCCTTCTCTTGTGCTGCACGAAGCTGCCGTCAATCAAATTTGCCACAAATCAAATTACAATTAAAGAATGGGCCACCACGGGGCGAACTTTTTGGACAATATTCTGCGCACTGCTGCCTGCCTGCCTGTCTGCCTGTCTGCCTGTCTGGGAATGGGCACAGAGCTGTCGCTGCTTGGGGGCAACATCAGCAAACAGACAGCAAACATTCAGTTAGAGCAACGCCAAGGCGACACAGTAACACAGAATCAAACAGCTCTGGCTCTCGTCTCGACTCAATTGTAGTCAATTTGAAAGCCAACTATCAAATGTCAGCGCCAAAGATTCGTTTCGTTTCGTTTCGTTTCGTTTCGTTGTGTCTCGTTGCCACACGACTCTTCTAGACGCCCAAAAAATCGAGTGCAAAATGAAACTGTTGCTCTTGTGGCAGTTGTTGCTGCTGCTGCTGCTGCTGCGCCTGCGCAGTGACAAGAACAAAGACAAAGAGCAAGACTGGCTTATAATTGTGGCGTAAACTGGGTCAGGCTGCCAGGCCAATCCAAATCCACCATTTGGCCAGGCCCACAGACCCGAACCGAACCGTACCCAAACCCCTTCTCCCTGGCTCGTTCTGCTGGCTTGAATCGCTTTGAATTCGCTTTTTGGTCCATTGTTGGCCTCCGCTCTGCTCGCTCGCTCGCTCGGTTCTGTTCTGATTTTCGTGTGCCGTGCCGTTCTGACAATTGTCTTTTGTTGTTTCGTTGGTTACATTAAAGTCACAGAGAGTCACAGGCTACAGAGTCACAGCTTTATTTGGCCATTGTTTCGGTCGAGATTTGTATTATTTGGCAATAGAAAAATTGCCGAGAACAAAGGAGGCAACATTCTGGGCAGTCTTTCGATTATCGTTCAAAGGGCATAACTGCTGGGAATGGGTTGATGGGTCATCGCTGTAACTAGAGCGGAGTCTCTCTCTCTCTCTCTCTCACTCTCACTCTGCTCAGCTTAAGGCTTCTCTGTATCTTCCCACTTACATAATTCGCTGTCATTCAACCTTTTACAATATTTATTCGCGAGTTCAGCAAACCTTCTGCAGCTCCCTCAGGCATTTACTGCTCTTGCGCTCCTCCCCAGGGGCCTTTCACTTTCAGTTTGACTTCCGCTGCCTTCCCCGCTCTGCCCCTTGCAGTGCGCCTCCAGAACAGAGTCCAATGGCTCCCCCAACTTGATGTGTTGCTGGCGGCCAACAACAAACAAACACAACAAATGCCATAAACACCGAGGCGTGGAGAAATATAAATATAAAATGGTCAACAAATTTGTTGCCGCTGAAATATCATTTCATTTTTTAATTATGCATTTAAGTTGCTCGATTTGTAAACAGATTTTTGGCAGCGCGAAAATGTGTTCGCTGCATAAATCGAAAAGTTGAGTAAACGATTCGCTGGTCCGTTGAGTCTTTAAACATTTTAATCTGGAGAACAAAAGCGAACACCAGCAGCAGCACCTGTTGCAGGTGAACGAATGCAGCCAAAAGATGACTCAATCGTCAGAGTGCAACATCTACCCACTGACTAATTGCATTCGCTAATTTATGCAACAGGCTGCGTTGCGGTTCATTGTTCTCATTGTCCGGCGTGTTACGCCTGCGTGCCCCGCTGCCACAACGCTGGCAATCTGTCCTCCAATTACATCGAGCCGCCCGCAGCGGTTTGTTCGTGTGTGCCGCCTAGATGTTGCACCCGATTGTGGTCTGACTCTCTCTACTTATAGTTTAATTAACACCTTGTCGCCTGGATACAAAACACTTGCCCAAAGATAAATCAGTTGACACTTTGCTGTCTGATCGAAGCACGAAATTGTTGCAAGTACAAAATTCAGAGGGGGATACCCCGAAAGTTCAGGGAACTTTGTGACCCTTGCAGAGCATCTCAACAACAGCGTTTGGTCGTGCAATTTGCACATTTCTGCATCACTTGCTACTTTGCCCAAAAAGGAAATTTACATGCGAGAGTACAGCAATCCCGTGACTCACTTTGGGTAACTTTCCACGCATATTTCGGGTTCTATTTGCACCCAATGATTGTAGCAATGAGTGGCGCTCTACTCACAGTTGAACAAATTGCCAAACATTGCACAACAAATTGTCATTGTTTGATGGATGAGTAACCTTGACATTGGATTTGAAAAGGGGAATTCTACTCAAAAGTAAACACAAATGACTAAGGCCATACTTTGGGGTGTTAAGCATTAGCAATTGGACCAAACAAATGAGCTGTGAAAAGTCAATTTTCTTTAACTATTACTACGCAGATTCTTACAGATGACTTTTGCAGATTATCACACTCCAATTATAGTAATTAGAAGGGGACTGCAAGCCAGTTCACTCACGAGTTCCATCGATTGCTGTCGACTTGCAATTATGGGAGCCCCCTCGCTATGCTTCGCCCTGCAACAAACACACAATTAATGTCAAAAGCCATCAACAAATTGGCAAGAAATATGTTCAATGTGGTGCGGGGGCAATTGGCCAAGACAATGGCAGCAGCAGCAGCAGCAGCAGCAGCAGAAGCAACGAGGGCAGCCGAACCGAACCCCACCGAACGTTGACTTCTAAATGTCAATCACAGTCGCCCCCGCCCGCGCATGCCTTTCCTTTCCCCACTCCACAACGTGCGCTGCATAAGAATTTCTTAGTAAATATCATAAAAAATATATATATATATGCAAAAAAATGTGAGGCAAAACGCTAAAAAGAACAACAACAAACGATGCACAGACGATGCAGAAGAAAAGAAGTTTATAAAATTAGCCAGCGCACTTTGTGATGCGATGTGGTGATGGCTGTTGTCTAGTGCAAAAATAAATGATTATGATGCGATGCCATTACCCGTAAGCACTCGCACACACACACACACACACAGAGACACACAATAGTTGACAGCGCATCGGCAATTGC